ATAAAAGCAAATCCTCACTTTTTCATGTATTTTTGGCCAATACAGGAAATGATATAAATGATATGTTTTAAATCATGTTGCAAATAGGCACAAGTTATATAGATATCATAGTAAATTTAGTACAAAACATGCACAGAGTGTACGATATATACTATTATGAATAAAATACATGTTTTGATAAATGTCAATTAATTAATTGATTAAACACCATTATAATTGAAAGGCATTTTTTAGATTATGATGATATAATGTCTCGTCATCGAAACAATGTATGGAAAGTTAAGTTATGGTTTGCCTCCTACAATTATAACTAAATGCGTAATGATAAAAATCAATCGTTTTAAAAAGCTTAAGTCGGTATTTCGTCTCATCAAGCTGTTAGAACGTTGCTGTTGTTTATTGATGCTTTGTGGGTTTGCTTTCCTTATTTTGATGTTGTTGTTGTATGTTGTTTTTTGTTTTTGTTTTTTTATTTGCGTCTAACTGTTACTTTAACTTAGTATATATGGATATTTGTCATTAAACCTTGCTTGGTAGCCCTTATGATACACCTGCGGTCAATAAACCCGCTCTTGGTGTCACTTAAAAACATGAACTTATAACAGAACAGAACAGAAACTTTATTTTCAGACTTGTACAAAATACATCGTCTAAAACAAAACAAACAATTAAATATATTTAAGTATAAGTCACATTACATAATAATATAATAGTCAAATGTTAGCAGAGCATATGTTTTTATTGTTACATTTATAATTCCGTTAACAAAAAACATATCAAAACATTAGCAAAGCAAAATGTAATCTATATTTAAAATTAGACATTATGCAATCAATACTTATTTATCTACGCTATGTTACACAGTGGATTAACCGTGAACTCAACGATGTGTAACTGATATTCTCATAGCCAATGCTTCTCGTATATAACAAGCAAGGTTACGTAAAATAATCTTATCATCACTATTAAATAATTCTAAAAATTTATACATACTAGGTCTAACGTAGTAAAATTTCATAATATATTTCTTTCTAAGGTCATTGTAACAAGTGTAAACCAAAACAAAGTGGTACTCATCTTCAATATAATGTAAGCTACAGTATATACAAAAACGTTCATTTCTTGGTATTCTATTTGAACCATAACGACCAGACTGTATAAGTAACGGATGTGCTGATAATCTTATTCTCCTTATATAATGCCTTACTCTACTAGGTTATCCAGATAGTTTTCATACTGGACCACATTTTTTATATCCTTGTATAACAATAAAACAGGACTATTTACAATATCAGCATGCCAGCTTTGTACAAAGGAATCAATTAAACGCTGGTTGAATTCTAATAAATACAATCTACTACATAAAACCCCTTGATTATGCCATACATACATAAAACCATACGACGATAATAAATCTTTAACACTTGAAAGCCAATTTTTCTTACCATTTATACAGTCTTCATAAGATATATTATAAATTTCTTTAAGAATGATATCGTCTGTTTGTAATAATTTAAGCCAAAACTTTACTATCCGTAAATATCTTGTAATGTATAAAGGATAACGAGCCAGCTCACCATAAACTGCTGCATTACACGTATTCATTTTAACATTAAGTATTCTTTAACAAAACTTAAGATGAATTCTTTCAATTTCTTTTGACTAACTATTTCCCCAAATTTCCGAGACATAACAAAGAATGGATCCGACAAACGCATCAAATAACTGACATAAGATTTTGGGATTAAGTTTATGCTTTTTACAATTTATAAGTAGAACATTTAATGCTTTTAAGGCTTTTCCTATTATCTGTTCCTGATTTAAAACAAACGTACCCGTGTAATTAAAAACAACTCCAAGGTAATTAAAATTACTAACAATTTCGAGTTTTTTACCATTATACAAAAATTCCTCATTAGATACAGCCCACCACGTTTTCTAAAAACCATTGCTTTAGTTTTATCAATACTAACATTCAGACCCCATTTTTCACAATATGAATAGAAAAGATTTAAACTTTTGTTAATCTGTTCTGGTTAATCACCCAAAATTACCATGTCATCAGCAAAAAGTAAAAGCATAAGTATAATATCATTTAATTGAAGTCCACTGTTTATATCCTGCTCTAAGAATAACTCGACGTCATCAATAAACAGAGAAAACATTATCAGTGAAATTACCTCCCCTTGACGAAGGGCTACAGCATATTCAAAAAAATCAGAATAACAATTACAATGTTTTATACAAGATTTAACCTTATCGTACATATCTCTAACAATACGTAGCAATTTACCTCTAATACCAATATTATATAACTTGAGCCATAGGGCATTTCTGTAAATACTATCAAAGGCCTTTTTGAAATCCACAAATACACAGTATAGACGCTTTTTCTCATTTAGATATTTTTGAATAACAGACAATAAAATATACAGGGCATCAACAGTTGAATTCCCTTTCCGAAAACCAAACTATGCATCAGACAACAAGTTATTTTGTTCACAATAATCCATAATCCTTTTATTTAAAATCGTTGTAAATAATTTAGACAAGCAACTAACTAGTGTAATACCCCTATAGTTATTAGCATTATTTACGTCTTTATTATAGTAAAATGCCTATCTAAAATTTCATCACCATTGTCAGTATTATTAAAATCATACATCGTTTCAAAATGTTCAGATTCATCATTTGTGGACTGAAAAATGTCGTTTCCAATAGACGAAAATTATTCAAAAAATTCATCCACTGAAATATTATTCTTCGAACTAGTGTTATGTTTAAAATATTCCCTATAGTTATTAGCATTATTTACGTCTCCCTTTTTATGCAGTGGGATAATAACACCCTTAGTCCAGGATTCGGGGAAAAACCACTATCTAATATACAATTAAAAATATCGCAATATGACACCCTAATATATCAATAGATTCAATGAAGTATTAATTTAAAAGAAAATCATTCCCAGGAGATTTATTCATTTTCAATGTTTTAACAGCCGCTGTAATTTCTTCAATAGTAAAATGCCTATCTAAAATCTCATTACCATTGTCAGTATTATTAAAATCATACATTATTTCAAAATTTTCAGATTCATCATTTTCCACTGAAATATTATTCTTCGAACTAGTGTTATGTTTAAAATATTCCCAAAATTCTATAGGATTGGAAAAACGTAACTTTTCGATTTCACGCTCCTTTAAAGCAATATGACGTTGACGCTTTAATCTAACAATGTGTTTATAATTGCTTTTTAAAAGACAAAGCTCATCCCTATTTTCATAACTTTTTACTCTTGTAAAGTTACGTAAAGCATTTAAATATGCATGTTTTGCCTGCACACATTCTTGGTCAAACCAAACCTTATTTTTATCATTAAATGTATTACAAAAATCAACACTTAGTCTAGTATTTACACAATAAGATTTACAAAACAAAGGGCTAGCTACATCTTGTAACAGACAGGTAAAATCAGAAACTAGCACATTAATAGATAATTTACTACACATATCTACATTATTTAACAACGTATTAAAAACCGGTAGTTTAGTTATTAACTTTGCTCTGAATTCCTCCCTTAGGTTATTTGACCAAACATATTTGCAAAAATTTTCCTTACATTGGTTTATTTCAATATTTTGTGATTTATTACAAAATAAATTAAAAAAATAGGGCAGTGGACACATTCAAACCATTTTGTGTACAATTGCATTTGCAAATTTTGATATTTTATGTAAAATTGCCATGAATAATCCTAATCAGACCATACTGCAGTCATTGAAATCATGACAAAATTGTCCATCCCAATATGTCCAAATGACCTATTTCTGCATTTAAGAATTTTAATATTATGATAACCTCTGACTGAATTATGATTTCTAGCAATGCATCTCAGGTGAGCGATCAATGAACATCAATATTTTCTTTAATAATTCACATTATAAGTTATAATTTTACTGTACTTAATGAATGTTAGATTCTGCTTAAGCCGGTGCTTTTTTTAATGCGTTTATTTAAGGTCGCTGCGGGCGACCGTACACTCAAGTCGGGCCATCCTAAAGCGTCCCGCCGAGATTTTTTCGTCGATTTTTTTCCGGCTTTATTTATGGAGGAGTCTTTCCAGGTGCTCCTCCGGGCATTATTTCAGGCACGAGCGGGCACCTTGGTAGAAACACCGACCTTCCGTAAGCCAGCTGAATGGCTTCCTCACATGAAAGATTTTATCCTGAGTGAGGATCGAACCTACAGAGGAGAAGGATCTGTGATCTCAAGGCATCGACCTTAACCACTCGGCCACGGAAGCCCCTTAAAAGCAAGTGCTAGGTGGCGTGGACAGTAACTTGCACTTTCCATTACAACCCGTGAATAGGTTCAAACAAACCGAGCCTGCAACATTTACAATTTTGTCGTTTGTGCGTTCTAAATGGATTGTTTATATTTCTCTATTTTATAAGTCAGCAAAAATGTAAATATTCAAAGAATAGAGCTTGATAGAAAAATAGTAAAAAACATTACATATTATATAAGATGTCAAATGATCCTAATGGAAAAAGCATTACATGGGAAAAGGAAATAGAACACAATTAAACAACAATAAATGAAAAATGCAACGAAATGTTTTATAAACAAAATTATTGTTCCAAAATCCCATTTTTTCCAAAAAGAATAAGATACATATTGTCATATGTTTGTTGGAGAAAGGAAATAGGAGATAGGGAACAAGTAAACGTATTCTTTATAGCATATTTTCGTAAAACTACTTTAAAATATTCCAAATAAAGCTTGGCCACTAAAAATAAGATATTTTACTTCATACCTTGTGCTTTTAGACTTACAGAGAAAAGAAATAAACTAAATATAAACCGACATAACATTTTTATAACGATAACATTGAATTTCATACTTTAATAATCTGTTATTCATTAAATGAAACAATTTTTTATAAAAATTAAGGCATTACTTTAAAATTACATGGTAAATGAAAATACATGTATACTTACCAAATATTACAGGGGCAAGCTCAAATGTGTGAATGTAGTGACACGAAAACTGAAGTAATCCGATGATATCCAACGACAGTATCATTATTGTAAACCACGTTGTATCCATGATTTTAAAACAATAAGCTGTTTTATTCTGAAATATTGTTTCCCTCTCCAAAAATATTCGGCTAGAGAACCATTGTCTCCATTTAAATCATTTTATGAATATCTGAAATGCAGTTAAAGCCAAACATAAGAAACAAAATCAATGTTTAAATCAAATGCAGGTACGCTTTTTACATGAGCATATGTATATAAACTCATATTACGCATTTTTTGCCATCTCACAATTGATTTCCAACCTGCTTGTTCATGTGAGCAATATTTTCTGTAATGAAACGAAAGCATACTGGTTTCACCGGTCATTTGTACTCGTAAAAGCATTTTCATTTTTATCATCATTCTTTCAATTCTATCATCGTCCATTAATTATAAATCAAATTCAGTTTTTGTCGTTTCTCAATGTTCACATTGTGTTAATTATCTCTAAATAAATCTATTTTGTAATCAAAAGCGATTAGTTTGTATTAGTTATCAACTTGTCTAAATATTGTCCAATTGAAAAAGAAACAAAGCTATTTGCACTTTAATGCTCGAATTTCGCATTACATTGAAATATTTGATGTAAAGATTGCAATGACAAGTATTGCTTCATTTAAAATGTTCCTCTAGGGACCATTACGGTTTAAGAATAAATGATCCTTACATCGCAATGCCAGGAAAAATATATTCAAACACATTAAACGTTTTTCATAAATAAACTTATTGCATCCTTTTGTATAATATTTATCATTTTATTGCTGCTTAGCCTTTTTTATTTTGTTTTCTAACTATCCATATCATCTTTTCATTAAAATAAATAAAAGGAACTACATATGGTTGTGTGTATTAAATGGATCTATAGTGTGCATTAAAAAACTTGCATAGAAAGTAACAAAATATTCAAATATCAAATTTGAGCATAATCATATCTTTAAATATAGGCGTGAAAATTGCATTAATATTGTGATATCCGTGTAAAGCAACAAATGTCCAAGATCTTTTTAATACAATCTTAATTTGAAACATAACAATGCTTAAAGATCCTGTAACACATTATTTATATGGTTTTATATACAAATTATGATGCTCAAATTAAGATTTATCGATATAGTAAGTTTCAAAAAAACATTATTTATAAAGATATTACCGAATTTAATATTTCATGTAAATAAAGGGAGGTAATTAGAATTTAGTTTTCTATAAATTCTAAGTCAATTTTTTCAAATAAGAAATAAATGCATATAATTTAATGATTACCTTAAATATATACAAATATTTGCAATACATATTTTACATATTCTTCCATGTTTGAAAATTGATAAATTTGCATAATTACATACATATATAATTCAATGAAGAGTGGTATGCAATCTCAATTACAAAACATACAGGATCTTTAATGTAAAATCACATTATGGTTGTATGTAACATTATCATAGACGTGTGCAAAATTTTGACTAGAACAGAAAATAATAATCATGTGCAACAAGTTACAAAACAGGCCTGAACATTTATGACGTCTTATCAGGCTCTATACTCTATGGAGCTTAATGTTTGTGTTTTGATAATGAAGCATATTAAAAATAAATATGCGTTTTTACACATCCATATCCGTTTTATGGAGAAATGAAGAAAATAAAATGTTGTCCGAACAATCAACTTTATTTCTAAACTATAGATTTCTCCTCCTACTCAGGTTTAAAAAAATATAACCTTATAATATAATACATACGACGTACATCAACTTTGATGAAATCAAGAAAAGTCTTAAGTCTAAGACCCAAAAAGAGACAATTTTCGTTTCAAAGAAGATGTCCTAACTTATTACTCACCATTTTTTTAATATCGATGTCGATAGACATTTACACATTGCCGATTGAAGCGCCTGCCATTGTTAATTTTAACTTTTCTCAGAAGAATGAATTAAAATATTTATTGAAATGTTCGCTAGCCCCATAGTGTGGCATAAGTCTAAGGACTTAGTATACATTTTGGACTTTCTATGAAATATAATATTTGTCAGCGTCAATAATTTAAATTTGCAACTACACCATTTGAAAAAAAATCTAATTAGAAATAAGATGTGCGGACACATCTTATACATGTATATAACATACGGATAGCAAAATTAAACATTATAACCACTAGTTTTCACAAGCATTAAAAAAAGATAATAATAGTTATAATAGTGCTAGGATCCATTATTCCCGAGTTTGATGAATATTCCAAAAATACAACTTCCCGCCATTTAATGTCATAATTTTGCAATCTGTCATACAGATCTTAATGATTTGTTTTCAGTTGGACATTATATCATTTTATCGACAAATCATAATTTCTGTAAAGTGCAGCACATTAAATCAAATACAAGTTAGGGTCTTAACCTTTTACCCCATGAGCATATTGCGAAAAATGGCAATTTTCATTGAAAAGCCTCCTGTTACAAGTTCAAACTTTTATGAAACTATGAAAAAATGCTTCAATGCTGATGAAACTTGGCACAAATGTTGACTAGACCATAGCCTCTGTAACAGCATGCTCAATCGTAAATTCCTGTTACCATGGCAACGGGGGACGTCTGCAAATTGCCAAAAATCACTATTTTGCATTGGTTTTTTTCCATTAAATCTGATTTCAAAGTGCTGCAACTTCTCAATGAATTGAGATAGAGTAAAAGGCTTTTCAGCGTCAGTTACTAGTTACCCTAAGATCGACCTGAGGCTATTTTTAGCCTGTCACATGTCCAACATTTTCTAGGCGATGAGGGGGACCCCGCCCCCCTTCAAACCCCCAAACAGAAGGGGGCACATCCCCCTTCTGGCAACCCCCTAATATAACATTTGGATGGGGGACAGCGCCGAAGAAGTGGTCACTTTTTTAACACCATTTCTCGAACGAAAAACAGTGTTTGGGGCATTTTTTCACCGTTTGAGGCCACAAAAAAGAGGGTGGGAAAGGCGTCGAAACACGCTTATATAAGGGAAAAGGTTAAATAAAACTTTTATCAATAACGGCTTATTTTACATGAACATTGGCAATCCATGTTGAACCATTTACCATTACGGATGATACGATAACATATTTATAGGTTGATACAATAAAATAATTACCGAGTGTGACGAGAAAATAGTTATCGAGTGATATGATATAATACTTATCGTGTGTGACGATAATATAGTTAGCGAGTGATATTAAAAAACAGTAATGATACGATATAAAGGTTATCGAGAGTGACAGTAAAATAATTATCGAGTGAGACGATAAATTAGATATCGAGTGGTACGATAGAATTGTTACCAAGTGAGACGATAAAATTTTAACGAGATATACGATATAATACTTATCGAGTGTGACGAAAAATTAGTAATCGACTGAGACGATAAGATACATATCGAGTGATATAGTAAAAGTTATCGAATGAAACAATGAAACTTTTATCGTATGATACGATATATCATCGAGTGTGACGGTAAAATAATTATCGAGGAAGACGATAAGATTCTTATCAAGTGATACGATAAAATAATAATCGAGTGAGACGATAAAATAATTATCGAGGAAGACGATAAGATACTTATCAAGTGAGACGATAAAATAGTTATTGAGTGAGACGTTTAAATAATTATCGAGGAAGACAATAAGATAGTTATAGAGTGAGACAATAAAATAGTTATCGATTGTGACGAAAAAATAGTTATAGAGTGAGACGATAAAATATTTATCAAGTGAGACGATGAAAAAGTTATTGAATGACTGATCTTTGAAATAATAAGAGTCACATCTTCTGCCAATTAATAAATTTATCTACCAATCATTTTTTTCAGAAGGTTTTATAGTAAAAGTTTCAAAATCGATTATCATTTTGTATTTATTTATTTTTGTTTGTTTCGCAGTTTCAAGGGATCTGACCTTTAACAGAAAATTTATTCAATGATATATTTAAGTAGTATTTCAATATTATATAAAATTTGACGATCAATTCAATAAAAGTTTACATTTGCCAATAAAAAAATACTGATGTTATTTGTCTCACCTCTAAACTTTTTTATAATTAAATATTCAAGAGAAAAGAAATTTTGATTTAAATTAACGCTGGAATGTATGATACATTAGAGTCCACTTTATTTGATAACTATTAGTCAATTATCAATAATTATTGTCAATTTATTGTAAGTCAATATTAGTTCTTTAGTTTCGTTAGATATGATTACAACTGCTATTTTGTCCGACATACATGTACGAGTATGTCCCTATAACAATAGTGAAACGAACATTGCTGACCCAATCTTTATACTTGTAAAAAAATGTTACGTAAAAAACATAATTTACTTAATTGACTGCTCACAATCTGTGTCTTGAGTTGGCATTTTATATTTAACCATGTATATAATAATTTTTTGCCAGTCAATTGCAACGTGTAAGCAAAAGGTTAGCTAAATTAAGTTGAATCAATAACCAAAGAACTAACTTAATAGCAAACGTTAAACGCTTTTTCCTTCTTCTTATTGGGTTTGGTTGCTCGCACAAACACATTATAGTTCATACGACAACTGCCCAGCTTTGCTTGTGGCGGAATACCTCAGGTACACTTCAAACACAAACGAGCACCTGATTAGAACCCTCGACGTTCCGTAAGTTAGCTATAAAAGAATCCAAAGTCCATGGCCTGAACGCACAATGATCATGGGCAAATGGTTTGAATTCAACGATGTAAACCACTCGGCCACTGTCTAATGTTCGTGATTGAAGTAAATAGGTGGCTTTATACTGATTTTATATTTGTTTTTATTTAAATATAACATCAAGATAAAAGCGCTTTGATTAATTACCAAATATAGTAAAATCATCACTTTCCGCTTGTTTGGAGTAATTATAGATCTTTAGAGATAGCGTCCTTTTGGCATAAATGTTCCAGAAGGATGCAGCCCGCTTAATCATTTTTTTCAAACCATTTTATGAATTAATAATGAATCTTAATATAAAATTGTTAGTGTAAACAGTTACGTTCCATTGATATAATTTCGAAATCAGATAACATAAAAAATAACTCAAGATCAGCTGGTGCAATGTTTAACATTTAAAAAAATGGAAAAATAAGTAACGATGTCATAAAATAAGTATT